GGGCTCATACAATTCATCACAATACATAGATCAATTGTGTAAAACACATCTATACATTTGTTGCCCTCATTATTCCCAAAATTCGCTTGCCTCGTCATGTATTCTTTATATATTGTAATATTAAATATTAATGTTTAATAAAAGGTTATAGCTAGATAGATGGACAGATAATCACCATGAATCTAAACTAGTGGTTAAGGAATGATTTTTGAGTTTAGTAGAAAGGTTAAAAGACTATTATTCCACATACTTTCAGCATTTATTTGTGTGCTTTCAGTGATACAAAGGAATGATTAATCAAAAGAAGTTACTCGGCTCATGACTACCCTGTCTACTTCCTCTCTGACCTGCTCTTAGACCATTGAAATCCATAGGATTTTCACTGGCAGTGTTTCAGACAATCATCCAGCTTGCCGTTCTAGCCCATCTTCATTTTGACTCCCTACTAAAACTGATTCAGCCTCATCGCAATGTGTAACTTTCCACTGATTGTTTATGAGGTGCATTTGCTTGCAATTTAATTGGAAGATCTGTTTCGTAGGTCATGAGAATTTTATTAAACCATCAATCCTGCCTGCTCTAATTCACACATCTAAATCAGAAGATATAGAGCATTTTTGTCAACACTTACTTTAGCCTTACAGGTGTGAAGTTACTGTTGGCACACTGTGAGGTCAAGTCAAGTCTTGGTGAAATAGAAAGTTTGGTTTGCTTAGATTGCACTCAACATTATATGTTAAGATACATATCATTCTGTCATGGTCTAAAACATGAGAGATAAATTCACAAATGTTTATGATTCATTCTGAATGAATCACCCATACTCTTTGAGATCAATAATATTAGAGAGGAGGGGAGAATCATAAAACTATTTTTCAATGGCAGTGGAAGGAGTCTTGGTGCAGTGGTGCACATTAGGCTGTGATCCACAACATCAGCTGGTCAGAACTGCCAGACCACTCCATGGGAGTAAGGTGGGACTTTCTGCTCCGGACTGACACAGGGACAGTTTTAACCTGTCCTATATGGTCGCTATGAGTCAGAATTGACTCTATAGAAGTGAATTAAAAATTTTTTTTATTCTTGAAGCGTAAAGAGGAAGATCATAAAAGTCATTTATGTGTGATTTTCTTCATCTATGCAGTCAGCAAGCACTTAGTAAATATTGCCATATGCTAAGGGTGAGCGAGTGACCTATAGCCGCGCATACTGGAGATTGTGAACCCCTCCGCACTCCAGGCATCAGTTAAGCAGGAAGTTTTAGCAAAGGACACTGTACCTTCTGTCCTGCAACATCCAAACAAGAATCCATGCAAAAAGGAATCTTCTTGATGAAGTGGTCAGTTCTGGGAGAGGAACATTTTCTATTTGGTTGTTTCAGATTATGAAATCCAAAACAAATTGGCTTGTTGCAAAACAAGAGAGGTTTATTGGGAGATAGAGTAATTCATGAACTGTGGTAACACAGAACAATCAGGCAGTTACTAAGTGTTCCATTATTATAGGACTTAACTATTAAAGCCACATAGGTCTTAAATGTTAACAGGTTATTTTTCTCACTTTATGATTAATTGCAAAGCCTGGTGTAGATGTTGAATTGATGTTTTATTCAGATTATGAATACATTTATTTCCTACATATTCTGCATATTTG